TACTACACTCATTGACTGAGATAACAAAGGTTTTCAAGAATAATGACAAATCTATTGATACATTGAAAATTTGATATTTTGGCTGGCTCAAGCATAACTTGAGAAGTCATTATCTCAGCCCAGGAACACCATGCACCGAAACCCAAATAGACTTTTTACCAACTATGTGGGGCCTATCTAATGACAATGCTCTCAATCGAAAACCGATTCTACACCTGAAGAGGTTCCCTCGTCAGTGTAACTGGTCGGAGATTCTGAGGGTGAGGGTGAGGCCTTAAAAAACCTCAGAAAAATCTACTGGTTTTGCGAAAAACTAGAACAAAATGAGGTTAAGACATTTTATACATTTCATCGACAAGAGCGCAGCCAATAGTTAATAGAAATATAATTTATTCACGAAAAAGGTAGGTTTTTCTGTTATGTCCAACGTGCTTCTACTAAAGCTCTCCACTGTGGAGGCAGTGTTTATAATCGACTGAATTAAGAATTGAATTGTAAAATAGGCACCTTCACTTTTGAAATAGTGTGGTGTCTTTAGAATTTACTAAATTCAATTCGGATTAGAATGATTTGGAAAAACTTCCGAAGACTCCGCACTATTGAAAAAATGAAGCTCTCTTCCTTGGATTCAATTCTAAGTTCACTGAACCCTAAAAACTCCAAAGACGTTCTTTCCTAGTTTGAATTGGGATGCTTTGTTTTTAAATTGAGTTTGAAATCAAATAGACCATTATATGATAGTTGAATACCTGGATAACTGAGAAAGATTTTGATAATCGAATTCAGATTGCAGATTTCACACAACTGATTACTCTTGTAATTCCATACTACTAATACCTCTTCCACCTCTATCCTTATATTCAAATGCTTTGGATGAATTTTTGCCGAAGAGAGCGTTTTTTTTTGTGAATTTGACACAAAATCAAATTGCCTATTGATTTCTCTTAGCAACCGAAACCACCAATTCCAATAATCACATGATCAATTGGCGCATCAGCCATCCCTCTGTATGAACAAACGTGGTATATGAGAGACGTTCTCCAACTTACCCTACGATCAACTTGTTTCAGCGCAACTCTCAAGCTATTCACCTGTAAGAATATGTAATATGTCAATTTCGATGCCTCATTAGAACAAAATTATTTATACCTGACGATGCAAAGAAAAAAAGAAAGAGCGAAAAGAAAGAACGACAACTCTTTTTGCCTTGGCTTAACTGTCTGCAAAATACAAATCATAAATGATCAATGGTCCTACCAACTTTTCTTTGGGACAGAACAGAACAAAAATTATGTTTACTATGCGCTATTATAGAGTAGGAGAGTACATGTCAAAGTAGAGTGAGCTTTTCATACCTTGCAATAGGCATGCAACAGTGACGATAACCGATCCATGAGTAACCGTTTCATTGCAATGTAAAAAATAGCGTGTGATAATAAACATTCATTTTGCTGATGACAATTTTCATAAGCCCTTTTAGGGTTTATTAGGCTCGTATATTCTTTCATAAACCCTTTTTTTGATAAACCATGTAGTGGTTTATGAAAATGCAACGTATAACAAATTTTTTGGGAGCTTATGAAATGGTATATGAGGCTAAAAACTCTAAAAAGGCTTTCATGAAAATTGTCATAAGCAAAAATGAGGGTTTATTAAGAAATGCTTTTTTTAAAGTGTACCGGTGAATATTGATAGATGTCATAATACCATTAAACCCGATATCGAGACTTACAAGACATAATATTCTAAGAATATCTAACTCACATGTATTCACTTTTACTGGATAAAACCATTGCAAAGAGTAACCATCTATTGTTCATCCATAAAAAGAATGGTATATGGATATTTTTTCGATAACTTGTGAATGGTGGAAGCTAGAGAACTGCGGTTTTCACATATGAAAAGAGAATCCTATGGAGTATTTTTTTTTACAAGCGGAGAGGTTTCTACGAAGCTTTTAGGAAACAGGTTTTCCAGAGGATCTTTGGAAAACTTGTGCATAACGAAAAAATTAAAAAAACCAAGTTATTGTTTTTTCATGTCAGTAGATAGAAGGAAGTGTCCTCTTTAAAATGGGATCTAAGCAATCTCTCGAAATCTTCAGTTCGACCAGAGGGGTGTTTTAGTCCCCGAGGATCAGAATCGGTCTCCTCCTTGTCTGATAACTTTAAGTATCCTGTCCAATCATAGAGTATCTACCATCCTGAGTTCCATAAGAATGTCTATTTCACGATTTGAAAGCATTCGTTTCATTGAAACTCAACTTCACCTTTCGCTGCCTACATCATATTGCTGATACAAGGCAAAAAACTACTTTTCTTCTATTCCTTTAACGTTAAAGGAATGGGAGAAACAACGCAAAAGGACGAAAATCGTTGGTATTTAATCTGCGTCTTCAATTTCTGATTCAAACTGTACATCATCTTCAATGATATCATTGTCACGTTCATCTGAAATTACAATCGCTCTTTTGAATGTCTCTTCGTACTTTCTCGTGTGTTCAATAAAACTGGATGCCATTTTCATATCACATGCTGCCATCCAAGCTGTAACCCACACAGAAACATCTTCTAAACTGTAAGTTACATTATTATTGCGAATAAAAATCTTCATTTCGGTCCAGGCAATTTCGATTTGATTCAGCATATAATGCCTTACTGGCAGACATAAAATTTCAACATCGAACTTTGCGGCAGCTACATGTGTTTTGAATTTTTTTGGTGCATAGACATCAGCCAGTTCCAACAACTTCGCTTTTGTATAAATATCCAAATATTGCACTTTATGATCGTTAAGCCATTGGATCACTTGTGCCTTCGCCCAAGTACGCTTTGGCATTTTCGTCTCATCTGTCAGTTCATTATGCCACCGTGCATTATCCATTATCATACAGATTTTCGAATTTCCATTTTCAGCTCATAGAGTTCCTACAGCTTCAACAACCCAAATCACAAAGCGAACTGAAGTCATATTATGTTCTTTAGAATTTCCAGACATTTCTATGGTACTTTCGTGAGTTCCATCTTTGCCAAGCATAGTGCTGATTGCCAATCTAGGTCCTTAATGACAAGGCGACACGATGAAACTCAGGAAGACAAATTCTTTTAAAACACCTTTACCATCTCGATTTCGAAGCCTCCCTTGGCCAATCCTATCTATCCAAATACTATGTTTCTTTCTCCTGAATTCACACATGTTTCATCATGCCAAAATAACAATGTACCATTATTATGAAGTTCATTCAGTTTTCGGAAATAATACGCTCTTTGAGCAATGAAGAACGTGGAATCGAGTGGTACAGTAGCTTTCGATGTGTTTACGTACTTAAATCCTAGTCCTTTCATAATCTTAGACAAAGTGACATGACTGTGAATAGGAAAATCTTCGCAATCCGGCTGAAGTCGAGACAATAATTAATTTATCAGCAGTTGGATAAGTCTTTTCTGCCAGCATCAAGTCAAAACTATATCTAATCATGTCTTCACCGTATTCTGATAAACGAATCGAAGGTCGACCGCTATGCCCTGTTTTCTTGCGAGAAACTGGATTCGGCAAAGCAACCTGGGTGATTGTGGCTGCTATCAATGTTTCAGTAAGTAAAAGGTCAGACTTCATGATGAAAATGAGTTACAAAATAATTCAAAATTTCTATATTTCTTGAAAATGATTTATATCTAAGATCTATCGAGATGTATGGCACAGTTGACATGGGAATTTAGTTGAGTTTCGAATGCATGTTAATAGCATGAGTCACACGATAATTAATGTTTGTTTACTATTGTATTCAACTTTTGTAATTTTAGCGATTTTAAATGATTGGTCGAGCTTCTATGATTTATTTTGAATTATTTTAAAACATTTACATATAGAAAATTGTCATTTTTAACCTTTTTTATTTAGTCACTATTAGAATTTTATGAATTTTATTCATCTTCTTATAATTAATCAATTGATGTTCGTTGCTATGGAACATTCAATCAAGAAACACATTCTATGTCTGTTTGATTTTAATTACATAATTTTGTTTTTCATGTGAATCTCATACAAGAAAATGAGCATTTCCAATTCTAAACTACAATTTTACGTTGATAAACTTTCTCACAATAAGTCTATCGAATAGATAATCAGCAATCTATTTAAAGTCCAATTATGACTCAATCAATCGAAAAACAGATCGGCTGCTATTCTAAATAGCGTAAATCATTCAATTTCAAGTTTTTAACAACCAATTTGCTAACACAAAACATTTAACCAATCATTCGATCTCCATATCATGAGCATCGAAAAAAAAACTATTTTATAAAAACAACCCATGGAGTAAAATATTCAAGGAAACGGACTGCGTAACGCGTTTCTGAGATTGCAGCATGCGTTTCGCAACGTTTTTTCAATACAGAACGCGTTTCACAACATTCTTACTTCGGTAGAATGCGTTTTGCTGCTGTCGTTTTTTGAAACGACCTGAAACGCGTTTTTCAGAGATTGCGTTTGGAAGCGTTTCCGAAGTAAAATAATGTCGAACGCATTTCAGTCGATAGGTAACGCGTTCCAGAGACACATATTCGGAGAAATGTGAAACGCGTTTCCTTTTCAAAGGCATTTTGCATCATTTTTGTTTGAAATGATGCAAAATATATCCGTTTTGCATACAGAATCTTGCAGGAATTTATCTGTACAAAACGTACGAATTAAGCAAAGTTAATTCTTAAATTATTTTAGAAATTATAGAAAATGGCATTTGAAAATGTTGTTCCTTGCTCTGTTTTTCAACATGAAAATCATGACCCAAACTTTCCAAACGCAAGATTAAAATCGAATTCTTCTAAATTTTTAGGCTGCTAGACTGTTATATAAGTCTGATTGGTAATTAGACTAATATTGAACATCAAAGTATAACAAAAATATTTTTTTCTTCCTTGAAAACTCATTTCACTACGTTTTTATTGAAAGAAAACGCGTTTCGTAACGTTCAACCAAGCATTGCTTTACATATTAAACAATTCGAAAAGATTTAGTAAAGACTGATGCTAATATAATGTGTACGACAACTTTGTTTGCTTATTTGTGAACAAAAGAATCTTACGTTATTTATAATTTGTATAATTATTGGTATGAATTCATATTTGGACTACTTGATAGTGACTGATGATACTGTGTAGAATACTACTAAATATAATTTTAGTTCGTACTTTGTTAATGTAAGCG